AAAGCACAGCCTCCCGCTGTCGTCTATTCAGGGCTGCACTTAGTGCCTGTTTGGCCCTGAGCTCTGCGTCACTTTCATTTATTTGGCTTCTATTTCAGGTTTGGTTTCTGACGCTGGAAAGACACAATGAAAGATACACAAAGATTACATAAAGATGCAGAAGTCATTGTACTGTTACTATTTTGATTTATATTGTGTTTTAGTGGCTCATATTACCAAACAAACGGTCCTGTTAGTTATCCAGCTCTGATTCTACAAAAAGGAGACAGGATTTCATACAATTTTTGACACAAGATAAAGACACGAGGTAAACCAAATGCGACCTATTTTCTGCTTGTAGTGAGAAGTTTAGCCTGTTGACATAACAGGACACAAAAGAAGTTCTGTTTTGAAGTCACCACCACATATTCAGTGATAGAATAAGTAAAACCTATAAGCACATTATCCGCTAAATAACTGTTCTTTTTGTCAAGTGCTGGAAGAAATACAAAAACGTTATGCATTCTTATTTAAGATGAGATGCAGCAGGTTTTGTGTTTGCATGCATTCATCAGTCTAGTCTTGAGATTATGGGATACTTGGCATCCATACCATATCTTCATTCAGATTACTGAAGGGAAAACATGCAAAATATACATTTAAATGTTTATTTTTCATTGCATTCTGTCTATTATTTCACTTCCAACACACATATTTATCTTATTTATAGATTTAAATCTCCACTTCAGTGTTTCTTTTATGCACCAGAATTTCCACTTTTATTCATAGATATTCTGGAGGGGGCTGCAGGGTGGGGCAGTTGGTAGCACTGTTGCCTCGCAGCAAGAAGGTCGCCGGTTCGCGGGGGCACCGGGTTCTTTCTGCGTGGAGTTTGCATGTTCTCCCCGTGCAGTGTGGGTTCTCTCCAGGTCCTCCAGCTTCCTCCCACACAGTCCAAAAACATGTTGAGGTTAATTGATGATTCTAAATTGTCCGTAGGTGTGAATGTGAGTGTGCTTGGTTGTCTGTCTCTAAGTGTGGCCCTGTGATAGACTGGTNATTGCATTCTGTCTATTATTTCACTTCCAACACACATATTTATCTTATTTATAGATTTAAATCTCCACTTCAGTGTTTCTTTTAGGCACCAGACTTTCCACTTTTATTCATATATATTCTGAAGGCTTTTTACGGAGCGGTTTGTTCACTTATCATTCACAACACGATTGATATTACATGCCATTCCTATCATTTGTAAGCTGCTGGATATCTATCTATCTATTTATCTATCTATCTATCTATCTATCTATGTAATTTGAAGCTGGCTTTATCTTATGCTCAGATGCAAATCAGGATATTTTTAGATACACAACACCTTATTTGCATATTTAAATATGTATTCTCCATGGGGAAAAAAAGCATTGCCTCAATGTAAGTGATTAACTGAGGAAGTTTTATGCTGAGAATCTGTGATGTCTCCGCTTCATAAACCAGCTAAATATAACGATATTGTGTCATATTGCATTATCTATAGGGAAGCATTAACGTAGCATTATTTAATTGTTATGAGGGGTATACAGTAATGAACCTTTTTTTTCTTATGAGAATTTATTGTGATTTTGATCTAAAGTTTTTTTTTCTGCAAAAGCTAAATAAATAGAATAAATAAATACAGGTGAATAAAATGTGCATTTTAGTATTAAATGTAGTTAAACAGAGTTATAAACTATTATTAAATTGTAATAAGCATACTACAGTAAAACTAATAAATAAATCAGCTTTTTAAAAATTAGAAAATCAAAGTGACATCATTCCAGGAATAAACCTCGTAATGGTTGTGCTGTGACAGTGAGCAGAGATTTATGAGCAACTTTTGAAGGAGGGGTTGCCGGTATGGGATTGGTCCAACCAGTCACAAGATGATGAAGTAAAAAAAAAAAAAAAAAAAACATTGAAAGCGTCTCTACCATTGAGAGCAGCAGCTGCAGCTTCACAGCGTTTGAACTCTACAACAATGGTAAGTTGTTCCGCTTCCACCGGAGCGGCCCGTCGACCTTTTCGTCTCTGCGTTTCGACCGAGAGCTCGGAACAAACGCGAAGTTTCGGGGGACTGTCGAGGAAAAGTGAGGTCGCAGATTGGCGAGCGTTAGCCTGCTAGCATAGCATTAGTTCCACCCTCCGTTCAGTGCAGCAGCGGCAAGTTAGACAGCGGAGAGGGCGGGCTTCCTGTCAGGGATTTCAAAATAAAACCACGGAGGGCGAAGAAACAATGCAAATGCTGCACTGATTTACTAAACATCAGGTTAGAGACAAGCTGACTGAGAGCATCGCAATATTCCACTAGAGCTACACGAGTACAATTAAAATCAGTAAATAAAGGCTGGAGTAGTATTTTCTCATAATTATACAAATAGCTCCATTGTGCAACTGGCACAGAAGTCTATTTGAATTCATGTAATGGTAAGAATCACTTATAAAAACTGGGATTTTTAAAATATTAGATAATACTGTTTTGCTGTAAATGTAGATAATGAAGTCCAGTCAGACTGTACATGGCAGTAAATCTTCTGTGTTCTGTATCAAATGCAGTGTTTTTTACTAAATCACCTTTAAATTTAGTTATCAAAAGTTATAGTGGGCTACGGTGGCACTTTAATGTGTGAAAGTGACACTGCAGTAAGTCAATTTGTGCTAAAGCTGAACGATTAATTAAAACAGATGCAATATCCAAATTACAGGAGCTGCAATTTCTTGGTAAAAGTAAAACATGTCACGATTATAAGTGAAGCATTGTGATGCTACAGAAATGCTTCTGCCAATAAATCGGATTGTCAAAATATAAAGTACTTGTGTGGTAGAGGTTGAAGCAATAATGAGTCATTTATTTTGTCAGTGCAAAAGAAACGCATCCCACCAAAATCATGATTTGTATTGAAAAATCAGTGTCTGTCTAAATAATTGCTAAATGTGTTGGGTTTTTGTTTGCTTATTGTTCAGCCATATTCTACATTAATATAAATAAAATAAGTTGCAGCAATAGCAGAATTGAAATACTAAAATCTTAATAGACTCATTCTCTTTTTCTTCACTGCCATGTATTTTAAATATGTGACCGCGGTGGTGAACTCACTGTTTACCAAATGAAATGACTCACTGATGTGTTTGTTTAGTGGTCAGCATTAGCACACGTGCTTATAAGATAACTAAGCATATGATATACTGTTTTGTTAAATAAACAGTACTTTGTACATCCGGTTATGCACCAAAACTCAGCTTTTTCCAAACTCTTTGACAAGGGATTAATCATAGCCGTCATTTTCTAGGCAAAAATGGCAAAAGAAATAAGCCTTTTAAATGTCAAGTTGTTTATAAAGCACATTTAAAGCAACACAAGTTGATCCAAAGGGCTTTCCATTCTATTGTGTTTGAGATAAAAGAATTACATTACAAGTCTGCATGACTAAACCAAGTACGAAGCTTGTTAGTCATCTCACAGCATTTTAAATGTTAAGATCAAGACAATACAATATTATGAAGAGAAACCCAACGATTCCCTTTGAGTAATATCTTGGGGTTTTGGACTGTTGACTGGACAAAAAAATAAAAAAGAGCGACATTTTCTCATGTTAATTAACAAAATTAGTCTTTGATTAATGGATAAAATAATCAGTAATGAATTGCTAAGATGATTTGGTTGGTTAGTTTGGTTGTGTGTCTGAGAGAGTTTTGGAAATTGAGTCAAAGCAAAGGTCAAGTATTTCAACTGAAGGCAGAGCTGAGTGTGAAGCTTTTTATTTTGAAGACGGAGCTGTCGGGCTTCTTGCAGCTGTGCCTGTGCAGCTTTGCACAGCGGCTCCTCGCACTGATGTGTTTTAACATGTCTGGGTTTGGGGAGCTGCCTTAAAGCTAGCTCACCTCCCTATCATGATCATCAGTGTTTCCCTCTGGGTTGTTACCTGCATGTCGTGACAGCTCGACTCGCTTCATGACGACCAACATTGAGGCGGTTTTACCGTCTCAGTCCCTCCACATGAGCTGCATTATTAACTGGATAGTTCACTGGCTCTCATTTCCTGACTGGATTAGCAGCCAAACTGGAGAGCTAGCTGTCAGTGAATGGAGGAATTCAAACCAGAAGTAAACCTGTGGCCACCTCCGGCTTTCATTGTCACGCCTGCTCCCCGTCCTTTCCTCCATGCATCCTGTTTTTCAAGAGTCCCAGCCACAGACACTCGAGTCTCTTCTTAATCTGTAAAGATCTCTCCATGAGCTCAGTGAAATCCTAACTCCCACCAGCCATCTGTTCAGGAAGGTGTAATTATAGATTTCAGAGAGTCTTCGGAGACTCTAAGAGAGTTTATGTCTTTATGATGGAGTTATGCAATGCTGCGTGAGGACGTGACAGAGGTTCAGACCAACAAAATCCTGCTCAAACTGGTGCTTTGTTGTCTTTCTGGATTAAAGCTTGTGGGTCAGATTGGACTCCTGCAGAAAGTAGAACAGTGGGTATTTGTTGTGCCGCTTTTGTGATGCGTGCTTTCAAACAACAGTTTGTGCAGGATCAAAAGTTCAGATTTATGCGGATTGATTTAGCTCACCGCTCGCTGATCTTCACCAGCGTCCACTAGACAAATTATTCCACAAAGAGCCGAGCAAAATAAAACCCTCAGCACGGCACAGAGCAAGGTCAAAAAATAACACGACCTTCCTCATGAATCTGTGACACCTGTAGCTGATCAGCCTTGATTTCCTCAAATATAAATCAAAAACAAAGAGGCGTTGCTTTGTGGAGGACTGAAAATAGCCCTTAAATATAGTGTTTACTTTTGTTCTGGCTTGGTATTTCAGGATACTTCCACATATGTACTTAAAGCAAAACAATAAAGTGCACTACTTCAAGCTACACGCAGTGACTCAGCAGCTGTCTTCCATACATATAAGCCCTCTGCAAACATTCTGAAAATTAAAAATGAAAATTAAACTTACCATATTTAACGATGGATTAAGAGGCAGACATATTTTTCTATTAAGTATATAGAATAAAGCCCTCTATATGCCCACCACTGCAGCATTTTCCTACTGATTATACATGCCCTGTATTCAGGTGGGCCAGTCACAATAATACTTATTTATCCATTTTTTCAGTTTGTTATTTTCACTGTTGGTTAATCTGTCAATTTTTTTTTCTTGACTGATCCTTGTTTGGTACATAAAATGGTGAAAATTGTAGGTCAGTGTGTCCCAAAGCCCAAGATATGTCTTAAGTTGTCCATAACCAAAAGGTATTTAGTTTACTGTAAAAGAGGACTAAAGAAAATCTAATTTAAGAAGCTGCAATCAGAGAATTTTGATAATTATCATTAATAGTTTGACAACTAATAGATTAATTGTTGTAGCTGTGTAACTGCCAGAAACAACGATAACAGAAATGACGCATACAGTTCAATCATGGATCAGGGTAAAACCATAACAAGTGTAGGATTTTCTTCATGCCGTTAGTTAAGCTCCGTGTCTCGTTTTTGTTCCACTGTATCATGAAAACATTTTAAAAAGATCCGTGTGAAGCAGGTGGAAGTGCAACTCCTCGACTCAGATGACAGTGAGAAGTAGCTGTTAGTTTTATGCTTTGCTGCAGAACAAAGGCATCATATTACTGTTTCCTCTGATGTGTGTGAGAGAGAGAGAGTGAGAACTAATGGATGTGGAGGAGACACTTCCTGATGCAGTGTGTCTGCCACTTCAAATAAAGAGGATCATTCTTGTTGCACAGAATATTGCAGTCTTTATAAATTAGTCTAACACTGTGATTTAAGGTCAATTCTTGTTTTTTTTTAACTGTAAAAAAAAAAACAAAAAATGAAGTTGTGCAAGATAATCTCTGTTTAGTGTCACTTGTGTTTGAAACATATGAACTTTTATTGTTTATCTATTCAAAATTCATTGATATATTTGCATGTCTCCCCTTATTTTGGATCAGAGTGAATCACTGGTGGTCTGTGATGTGGATGAAGATCTGGTCAAAAAGCTGAGGGAGTTTCGTTTCCGGAAGGAGACCAACAATGCGGCCATCGTTAGTGAGTCACTCCCTTCTTTTCTTGCAAGTTTAATGACATGCGTGTTCACTGAATATTTAATCTAAATATTAATAATCTTACTAAATAGAATTGTTATTGTGTTAATTAAACTCATAAAGTTCAGCTTCCATTCATGCTCAGACAGCCGGTCGCTGCTGCAAGATGGAGGCGAACAGGCTGAATCATATTATTAAACTCTTGCATTTGGCCACCTCAAGCTTCAGATGCTTTCAGAGACAGATTTTAGTTTCCCATCTGTGCAGGCTCAGTTCACTTCACTGACTTTCTGCCCCTGTCTGCTGACATTTAAAGGAGCATTTCCTCAAACTCGGGGGGCTTTGCTGTTCTCATTAAAAACCAGGGAATACCAGACAAGGAACTAGTTAACATAACATGTGCTCAGAAGTGTTTAAAGATGTTTCAAGTGACGACACTCAAAGGCAGGTTAACAAGCCAGAGGTAAAGATTAGGCATGTTAATCATTTATATATGATTCTGCTTGTCTGCAACTTTACTGTGCAGTTGTTTACCATTAAAGGAGGAGTTTGACCTTTTGAATATCTCATATACACTGTTGAGCCACAACATTAAAACCACCCAACTAATACTGTGTAGATCCCCCTCATGATGTGGAAACAGTTCTGACCTGTTGAAGCACCGAGAAGTCAGCAGCACATCCTTTAAGTCCTGGAAGTTTTGCGGTGGACCTTCCATGGATCTGACTTGTTTTTCCACAGAAGCTCGATCAGATTACTATTTGGAGAATGTGGTGGCCGAGTTAACTCCTTTAACTCTTTGTCATGTTCCTTAAACAATTCCTGAACCATGTTTGCGGTGTGCCAAGGAGCATTATCCTGCTGAAAGAAGCCGCTGCAATCAGGCAGTATCACTGACATGAAGGGCTTTATGTGGTCTGCAGTCATGTTTAGGTGGAAAAGGCACATCTACATGAATGCAGGACCAAAGGTTTTCCAGGAGAGCGTTACTCAGAGCATCACTCTGCCTCCACTGGCTTGACTTCTTCCCATAGTGCGTCCTGCTGCCGTCTCTTCCCCAGACACACACATAAAGGAAAAGAACATGTGATTCATCAGACCTGGCCACCGTCCTTCACTGCTCCACTGTAGGCACTTTTAGCAGCAGACAGGCGTCAACATGAGCGCTCTGATGGGTCTACAGGAAGCTGACTGCTTTCTGTCGTAGCAGCTTTAAGGTTTTCAGCAGTTCGTCTACAGGAAGCTCTTCTGGGATTGAACCACACAGGCCAGTCTTCACTCAGTGAGCCGTGGGCGTCCATGACCCTGTTGCAGGTTCACCAGTTGTCCTCCTTGGACCGCACTGGTAACCATACTGGGAAAACCCCACAAGACCTGCAGTCATCTAAACAACAGTTTGCTCCTTGTCAGAGTCTCTCAGATTCTTAAACTGCCCATTTTTCCTGCTTCCAACACATTAACATCAAGAGCTGGCTGTTCACTCGCTGCCTGACATGTCCCACCTCTTGGCAGGTGCCAATTTTAACGAGGCAATCAGTGTTACTTACTTCACCTGTCAGTAGATTTAATGTTGTGGCTGATTGGTGTATTTGCTTTCTTGCCAGGGGTTAGAAGAGAAGACTGATACTACAATCATATCCATTAAATATGAAGCTACAGCCAGAACCCAATTAGCTTGGCATAAAGACAAGCTAGCTGTGGTAATTGTGTAGTCTGAATACACCTAAGGGTGTCATCAATCTTTTATCTCACCAAGAAAGCAAATAAACTTATGTTTGATCTGTAAAAGTCTTCCGGCTGAAGACAGATGTAATAAATACGCTCAGTCAAACTCACATAATGAAAAGAAAAATGTTCCTGGAGTGTGATTGCCAAGTAGGAGAGTGATTCTAGGAGATACCTCCAAATGCAGCAGGTGGTGTGACGGAGGAGTGAATATCACAACCGAGCTTAAGCTTTATCCTCCGCTGTGTCTGAATCAAAAGTCATTTGTGCTGAACAGGATTATAGCAACGTGTTTGCCTGACCTGGACTCACACTCAATTATACACACCTTTTATACTGGGACGCTGCAGCAGAAAATACTGAGTCATTTTCTTGGTATTGTGGTCTTTTTCTTTCCAAACTGTCTCACTTTTGACTCACTGATTAGTACTTCTGAATTGATGTGACAGTTTCCATTCAAACTAATTCAGTTATTGACTTCAGTGTTTGTTTTCTGTCCCTTCAGTGAAGATTGATAAAGACAAGCAGCTTGTTATTCTTGACGAAGAACATGAGGTAGGCTTTCTGTTACTCTGTTTTTATAATACCGATCTACTCTTGTGTCTGTACAAAAGTTTGGATTCAGCTTTGACATTTTAAATGTAAATTTATGAGAGCCGAAGTGAATTTCCGGGTAATTAAACGAACACTATAGTCGTGGATTGAAAGATGTGATAATAAAGTGGATGAAGCTTGTTTTGATGTGACAGCCTGTCAGCTGCTGGATGTTAATAATTGCTTTTCTAGATAACGAGTAACTAACTAAAGGCGTTGCATCACGACAGAAAACTGCTCATTACATTTCTGTCTTGTTTTAGGATATTTCTCCTGATGATCTAAAGGACGAACTGCCCGAGAGACAGCCGAGATATCCTTTGAACGGATGACCTGCCTTATTTTAGCAGCATTTCAATGATTCATTCCCGTCTTACTCTATAATGAATTAGAAGCTCCCTTTTAAAGTAGTTATTTTTTTACATTTTGAAGTAGAATATTTTACGTAGCAGATTATCGACATGTCTGTTCGTCTCTTCTGATGTGAAACACACAAACTGTCCTTAGCACCAGGAACATTCGTGGTCTACAGTTATAAATACCAACATGATGATGGCCGTGTGTCCTATCCTCTCTGCTTCATCTTCTCCAGTCCAGTGGGTAAGAACGTCTCTTTGACTTCAAGTTTAAAGCAGCCCTTACTTTTTAAACTATTACTCATACTGTAAATGTTGGCGTGTTTGTGTTTGACAGGTTGCAGACCAGAGCAGCAGATGATGTACGCAGGAAGCAAAAACAAGCTGGTGCAAACTGTTGAACTGACCAAGGTTAGTGAACCTTTTATGAGTCATCGTCACAATAACATAGTTCTGGATGTAATTACTGCAACCCTGTGAGAGGATATTGAAACATCTGCCACATAGGCCACAAAATTAAAGTAATGCCAGAGAGTTGTGTTATTACTATCAGCCACCACTTTGGTCCAGACAGAAATACCTCAAACACTGATGGATGGATTGTCATTAAACAACACACAGACATTCATAATCCCCAGAGGATGAATCGTACCCCAACTTTTCCTCAAGCACTGCCATAAGGGCTTTTTTAAAAAATTAAATATCTTTGTAACTGTTGGATAGAATTCAATAGTATTTGATCCAGATATTTATGGTGGCCAGAGGATAAATCCTGAAACCTTGGAGATCCTTTAATGTTTGCACCAGCACCACCACCATTAGGTTCAAATTAGTCCAATACGTTTACTTATGAGGAGATACATGCAAAACAAATAACATTGTCATTAGAGTTAGCTTTGCTTTGCTTTTCAGGTTTTAGAGTTAGGATGTTAGCATGCTGACCTGAACTTCTGGCATCGACTAATATGTTAATACTATATTAATGTACTAATTCAGATAATTATTGTAGTAATGTAGCGCCTAATATTTGCATCTATTTACCTGGGTCTTTACTTATATTATAGCATGTGTGTCAAACTATACATTATTTAAATTTGGCAGCTGTCCACTTCGAAGGAGTCGTCCTTTGTAGCAATACACTGCTCCCAGAGCTCCTGCCATGATGGAAACGTTCCCTAGAAGTTCTGTTCTCCAAGTGTGTCAAGCACATTTGGATACTGTTGGTTCTTTCTCTGAGTACTGGTGAGAATTTGATGTTTGTTCTTTGTGCAAGATAGAGGTTCATGGTGAAATCACAAATACGGATCTGCAAATGGTCAGAACAGGACTTTCAGAGAGCAATCAAAATGTGGCAGGAGCACTGGGAGCAGTGTATCGCTACACAGTGGGGCAACTTTAAAGTAATTAGTGGTTTTTGCTTTTGATGTGTGCAGTCTCAGGATTTCTCGATCACACCTCGAATCAGCTGCTGCCATTCTTTTCCCTTATTGTACTAAAATGAAATGCCAAATCCTGCTCTTCACCGATCTCTTTAATGTCTTTACAGGTGTTTGAGATCAGAAACACAGAAGACCTAACGGAGGAATGGCTGAGAGAGAAACTCGGGTTCTTCCGCTAAAGTCGTCACCTCATCCAGAGGTCTGGGATGCGAGGAGGATCCAGATTGCACAACTCGTGTCGTCTCTGAGAGAACACGCCACAGTTAATATTTCCCTCCTCCTTGTATCAGACCTGATTTGAATAGTGTTTGCTCTCTGTGCTCAGTTTTAGGCCTGCTCGATGGAGTTTATTACAATTCAACGTGTGCCAGAAGGTTCAGACAATCACACGAGTTTGAACGTTTGTGGCGCTAATTAAACCTCGCCCACCTAGCAGCTTAAAACTTTAACTACTATTTGACGCAGGTCTACTTTTGTCTCCCATACAATCTCTCCATGTGCCAGTTGTGTGTCTGTGTTTTAACACTCCCATAGATCTTGAAGTGGACAGAAATTGATCATACTTATCCGCCCTTCCACCGCACGTTCATTCAGGAGACTTTAAAGCATTGCAACTACAGTTTCTGTTTAAGACGTTTACACTCACCGTTTTTTTTTTTTTTTGCATCTCTGAACCTTCTGAACCTTTTTCTGTTTATTAATTTTACACAATTTTAGGGAGACTTATTTTTAGATTTTTTTTTAGTTACTTCTGGTGTATGTAGGTTTAAGGTAGGGTTAGGTAAACATATAGCATTCATTTCCTTTTGTTGTGAAAATCCTGCCAGAACCTCTGAACAATCACAGCTACAACCCAGAGAACAATAATAATTCCTGTTTTCATCAGTGTCTCCTTCGGTGTTCATTCAAGGGCATTTAAATTATAATTTACATACTGTCATCACTCCGGTCTTCAAAGTACAAGAACGCTAATACTTACATATGATGTGTTACAACTCCTCCTGTGCACATGAACAAGCTGGCAGACGCCCTTGACTGGTGCTTATTCTGCTGCAGATTTGACCCTGTTAGTCTGTCACCAGATCTGTTTATCTCTGTTTAGAGGAAAAACAGCATGAATCATGGGTAATGCCTTTGACCTGCATATTTGTTACAAAGAAATAACACTCCAGGAAACAATATTTCCACTCAAACATTCCAGACATGAACATTTAAACACCGAAACCTCTCGCGACCATGACAGTCATGATAACACTGCACACAGGGCGGCAATACCTGCCCTCTTTTTAATCTACTGGGCTACTCTTATAAGTGGGTTACTGTGTCTTTAGGGAGATTGTTAGCTATTATTGTGCATTATAGCTCTTACTGTTATTAGTGTTTATGAATGTTGTGCTTAATTCTGATGTAAAGCCACTTTGATTGCTTCATGGTTGCAGCCTTGTGAATGACGGCTGCGACTGCTCCAAATGCCAGTTGTGCTTAATATTTAGACTTTGGTAGGTTAAAGGAACAGCATCCGGGCAATTTACGTTTTCCATAAATAACGGGGTTCGACCAATGTAGCTCGACGTGTACTGTCCTGAATGTGCCAGCTGCTCATATTTTGTGCCAATGTCTAATATCCTCAGCGAAAATTGCAACATTTTTAGCTTTCAGCACATTTTAAATCAGTCGAAACAACAACAGTGTGCCACTTTCCACTCTGTTGTATACATTTGGCTCCAAAAGACATCCACAAATCCTCTAAAACAGCAATTAAACCAGTGCAGCACACTTAAAACCAGTTGCTAATACTTTAAGCTCTTAACAGCAGGGTGACCAGCTCCAGTGAGTAGTAAATCAGCAAGTAAAATTCAACATATTGAAGATGCTACAGTCTAGTTTAATGTGAATGCCAAGAGGGAAACCTCAACTCAAATGGCAGAGTACTGAGTCTTAATATCAGCTTGGTATTTTGGTCTGACCCTAATAAAGAATAACGGGCACAAATGAATTCCACATGGTCGTCTCCTACTGAGAAACTCTTATTTTGGATAAGGGAGAGTTGTGGTCGATTAAAAGCCCCCCAAGGCAGCAAATCGCCACATCATGTATGATGTTACTGCTAAGTCTACCATACCAATGCCTTGTCTTAATTTTTTTGTCATGTTTTCGTCTGTTTAAACAATTATGAGGCCAGAAGAGAAAAAAAAAATGACACTAGAAAAACTGAAGGACACTAAAAAAGCTTTGTTGGTGACTGACTTTTTTTTTTTTTTTTGGATCTGAAAGTCCACGAACGGTAATCTTGTTCGTTAAATGTGATCCTGGTTGTAGTAAAGAATAGAAACTGTTTCTTTTCCCAGAGATCTGACTCAAAGTTATGTACACACAATCACACCACTTCATGTAAAATCATTTGTTGATGTCAAATAATAGACGGTGATTTGTGATTTACATGTCAAGGCAGGGTTTAATCCAGCAGGAACAATGGGACACAACTGTAATCACATGTTTTAATGTCTACTGATAACAAGAGTTACACTGTCAGCTTGATATTAGCCAGTATTATGCTGCTGTAGCAGAAACACGACTCTCATGTGGGAGATAGTTGTGTTTATAGTAATTTCTGTTTTTTCTTAAGCTGAAGATGTACCTTTTTTTTGTTAAAGAATGATTTATGACCCGAAAGACCTGCAAAACACTTCCAAAAGTTCAAGCAATGATTTTGGAGTGAATTTAAACATATTTATATTGGCTATTTTGCTAAATTCTTAAAACCTCTAAACTGTGGAGAGCTACTGTAAAAGACGTGATTTTTAAAATTTATCTACAGTTCTCATAAGCCCGATGACATGCAATTTTCCGCTCAGTTGCATTAGTTCTTGTACTGATACAGTTTATTTGACCTTTTCAAAAAGGGGCAACGTTTGCATCTCACACATCTGGTTCCATGTGTGTTCTTACTCTTACATCAAACATTTGCATACCGATAGTCATTTCTTTAAAGAAACCTGCTGCTGTTGCTATTTTTCCTTGAAATGAGATGTAATAAACTGTCCATTCATCATGTCTCAAACCAGTGTCCCCAGTAGAAGGCCTGTCCAACTAGAGCCATGTATCTGGTTATGTCCTGTGGATCTAATAGCTTTCCCTCCTACGTGGTGAACTTGTTGTATATTTGGCCTCTTGAGTCTTTTACTTTTAACCTGCAAATGTGTCGTTCAGCTCTTGGTGTCCTCTCTGATCAAATGCCTCTTCTATTTTCTTTCCTTTTTACTAAAAAAAAAAAAGAAAAACACCTGAGACATCTATCATAACCAGCTGCCTCATGGCATCAGTGAAACTTGAGATATTTGTATTTTCCCATACTTTATAAAAGTGTCTATTGTCCAAATAAAATGACAGTGATGTCTAAACCCTCTGTTTTCCAGAGAGTGTTGTGTTCAAACTGTATATGTATTATATGTGCTCACCATCTACGGTCCAGCACTGGTCAGATGAAAACTCTTTCCAGTTTGATGTTGCCCTGAAAAAAAGATCAGAAAAAAATTAGTAAACAAATACAATGAATGTTCTGTTAGGTAATGCATGAGGTATTTGAGTCTAAGTTGCATGTAGATATACACTCATGGGACAAATATATACATTGCATAGAAATTGTTAACTTTTTTTCAACATCATTTAACATTAAACCTAATCCTCTTTGAAAAAGTGCAGAGATTAAGATTATATATGCAAACAAATAACAGAATTTAGCTGTCATTTTCATTTATTTATTTATTTTTAGAATAGAATACAATAGAACTTTATTGATTCCTTTGGTGCAAACCTCAGGGAAATTATTGAATTGATTTAATTGATCATATTACACCTTAAACTCCACAAAAATCGATTATTAAAGAGTTTCCGAAGGACTTTTGAAAAAAAAAGGTTGTGGATGTCTATGAGTCCAGCAAAAGGATTTAAAAAGATTTGAAACTAATCATTTCTATGTCACGAAAATCATCTACAGGTGGCACAGATTTCAAACTATTTATCCAGAACTGGCCATACCATCAAATTCAGGCCAAGAGCAGACAATCTAATGCAAAAAAGACATCTCCAAGAACCCCAAAACTTCATCCTAGGATGTGCAGGTAACTCTGCAACTGTTGGTGCCGAAGTGCATGAGTTCATATTGAGAAGTTTGCTGCATAACGTCAACCTGCATTGGAGGTATGCATGGAAAAAGCCTTTGCTTTCCAAAAAAGTACAAAACTAGTCTCACGTGGCCAGATGTATCTCTTAGACTACCTGTGAAGCAGGGAGGTGGAAGTATCATTGTTTGGGATCGCTTTGCTGCCTCAGAGATTGGGCAGCCTGCAGTCATTGACTCGGCTATGAATTCTGCCTCACTGCAAAGTGTGCTTGAAGATAATGTGAGGCCAAACATTCACAAGTGGAAGTTGAACCTGAGGTTGACCTTTCAGCAGGATTATGATCCTAATCACATGATTAAATCCATGAAGGAATGGCACAAAAACAAGAAATTAAGGGTTATGGAACGGCCAAGCCAAAGCCCACATTTCAATCTCACTAAAATGTTGTGGGGGGGATTTGAAATGGACAATACATGTAAGAAAACCCTGAAATATTTTACGAGTGAGGGAACATTGCATGGAAGAGAAGTCAAAAGTTTCAGCAAGCTAAAATCAGAGACTGGAAGACAATTAGGGAAAACAGGTTATTTCTGCTAATGAAACAATACAGGCTTCTGAGGCCTCTGAGGTACTTACTTTTTAAAAATTATTTTGTTTAATAAATGGCTGAAAAATTTCCCCGTGGTGTTGTTTCAGTATATCACAATAATGTATCGCTGTTATGACACAGAGGACCAAATGTTTGCGTGTTCAAATATGTAGAAATATCTAACATTTTCCCTGGAATAGAAAGTGAGATGACCTTTGTTTGCTGACAGCACAGTGTCTCACATTTTATATTAATTTTACTCTAAGATAACTTGAAAATGGTGCGGTTAAAAGGAGGACATCTCACAATATCTGGGCTGGGCAAAGCCTCAGATGTTTCAAGATCCCTAAAACACCTCTGATCTAAACAAGTCTGATACAGGTTTCCTAATACCAGTCAATCATTTCCTGCTTAGCTCATAATAGACCGTGATTTATGGTGTACAAGTCAGGACGGGGTTTAATCCAGCAGGAACAATGGGACAGAGCTGTAATCACATTCTTTGATGTCTGCTGATAACCAGATTTACACTGGCAGCTTGATGTTCACCAGTATTATGCTGCTGTAGCAGAGACACAGAGCTCCAACCTGTTCTTACTTGAGCTCAAGTTCTACCTTTTGTATTGTTGCAGATGTTTTATAAAATGACGACCTAAAAAACACTTTAAAACTCATGCAAAATTTTGAAAACTGCACAGTTTTCTGAAATTAACCTTGTATACACAGTTGAAACCAGAAGTTCACATACACTGTAGTACACAGTTAGGATTACCAAAATAATTTCTATTTGCCAAATGTCAGAATAATGAGAAATCTTTCTTTTGAGATTTTTTAAATTACTTATAAGTCAGTAGTTTACATACAGTAAGACTACTATGCCTACAAACTATTTGGGAAAGCCCAGATGATGATGTCATGGCTTTGGAAGCTTTTGATAGGCTAATTAACAACATCTGAGTAATTGGAGGCAAACCTGTGGATGTATTTTAAGGGACACCTCAAACATACTGCTTCCTTTTGTGACAACATGGGAAAATATAAAGAAATCAGCCAAGATATCAGGAAGAAAATTCTGGACCTCCACGGGTCTGGTTCATCCTTGGGCACAATTTCCAGATGCCTGAAGGTTCCATGTTCATCTGTTCAAACAATTATACACAAGTATAAACACCATGGGGATGACAGCCATCATACCACTCAGGAAGGAGACGAGTTCTGTGTCCCAGAGATGAAATGTTCTGGTGTGAAATGTGCGCATCAGCCCCAGAACAAAAGCAAAAGACCTTGTGAAGATGCTGCTGAAGCTGGTAAGAGAGTCATTATCCACAGTGGACTGAGTCCTGTACCGACATGGGCTGAAAGGCTACTCAGAGAGAAAGAAGCCATTACTCCAAGAGCAACATAAAAAAAGCCAGATTACAGTTTGCAAATACACACAGAGACAAAGATCTTCATTTCTGGAGACACGTTCTGTGGTCTGATGAAACTAAAATTGAACTGTTTGGCCTTAATGACCATCGTTATATTTGGAGGAAAAAAGGGGGGAAGCTTGCAAACCTGAGAACACCATCCCAACTGTGAAGCACGGGGGTGGCAGCATCATGATGTGGGGTGTTTTGCTGCAGGAGGGATTGATGCACTTCACACAATAGATGGCATCATGACAAAAGATGTGGAAATATTGAAGCAACATCTCAAGACATCAGCCAGGAAGTTAAAGCTTGGGCGCAATGGGTCTTCCAAATGAACAAGAACTCTAAGAATACTGCTAGAGTAGTTACAAAGAGGCTTCAGGACAACAAAGTCAATGTTTTGGAGCGGCCATCATAAAGCCCTGATCTCAGTCGAGCAGAAAATTTGTTCCACCAGTTCCACCAGTTCTATCAGGAGGAATGGGGGGAAATTCCAGCAAACTGTTGTGAGAAGCTTGTGGAAGGAAACCCAACATATTTGACCCAAGTCATACAGTTTAAAGGCAACACTACCAATATCTAAGGAACTGTATGTAAACTTCTGACTTTGAATAAAGTGATTTAAAAAAAAAAAAAAAAAAATCTCTCATTAATCTGGCGTTTAGCAAATAGAAATAATTTTGGTAATTCTAACTGACCTAAAACAGAAAAAGTTTTGTCACATTTAATGTCAGATAGTGAGAGAAAAAAAAGCTAATGTGTCTTTGCACTTAAAATTTTAATTTGTAAGAGTTTGGAGGAAAACACGGATAGACTGAGGACACACAGGACAACCGGAATCCAGAAGATGGCGGTAATGCAACTATAAAAGATGCCAGCCCGCTGAACACTCACTGACGAAGAAGACCCGCCGACAAATCTCAAATCGGTTGGGAAGCTGCCTGCATCATCCACCGACCGAGCCAGGAACCGACGAGCAGAACCGGAGGAAAAAAATGGCGTTCACATTCGCGGCCTTTTGCTACATGCTCGCTCTGCTGCTAACGGCGGCGCTTATCTTCTTCGCTATCTGGCATGTGAGTACACACGGACGGTTGGCCCACCGCTCTTAACGGCGCTCAGAAACAGGGGGGCGAAGCGGCGAGGGAGGGAGGGAGGCCGGCAGCGAACACCGGGTTAAGGCCGGCCAAGGGAGCCACATCCCCCGCTTCGTTTTCTGTTAGCTCACCGCGGATCCGGTAACGGCCGGGCAGTCCGTTTCTATGCTAGCTCCATGGAAACAAAGCCATAGAAACGGCCGCGCGCCGCGAACCCAGCCGTTCTAGAATGAATCGCACACACCCTGGTGCTAGCTAGCACAAAAAAGTTAGCCTCGTAAACAGCAAAACAAACACCAATTGCGTACACATGTATCCTTGCCACAGTCTTTCCCGTTCTCTACATTTCATTTAGCATCACCTGAACGCAGCAAACGTGTATTTACTTGTCAAGCTTGTCAAAACTAGAGTGCGGTGTTGCGCTAGTAGCTAGTTAGCAGGCTAGTTAGCAAGCTGAGCTAACTTATCTTTACCTCCAGTCCAGCTGGTGTGATTCTGCTGTCATGCGTTTCCTGTCATGTCACATTTGTTATGCAACATCGGCAATTTTAATGCCAAAATTTCAACTTTTGTCCATTTTTAACAATGCTTGTAACTCATTTACAAGTACAGCTGAGTTAATGACATAACGTGGTGTAAAACCCAGAGGCGTTGTTGGGATCTTGACATATTGAGAGGTTCAGCTCAGAGATCTTGAGACTTTAACCTGATAATTTAATAATTTAAAAAACTATTTCTGAGCAAAGTGAATTCAAAATGTGAGACACTGGCTCAGACAAAGTGAGGTCACTCCACTTTCTTTCCTTATTCCAAAGTTCCACAGCAGGACTTACAGAGCTAGAATCATAATTAAAGGTGTGTCTTTAAAATGCTTGTGTACATACATTTAACAGTAACTTGGCTCAGTGTGAATTAAAAAGAAAAACTCGGATGAAGACATGCGCAATAAATAATTAACAATAAGCAGGACAAATGTGCTGTCTGTGTGGTTGACAAAAGCAGTTCAGAAGTCCAAAGTGTAATAATTTTTCAGACAACAGCAATGATGTGTTGTTGGCAACCTGTTGTCATCATTTGTGAATTACTTTAGTCAGTAGAGATCTTATTTTATGTGGAGTTATTCCTGTGAAATGAAAAAATCTCTGAATGAAACACGGCATGACAGAAGAATATTTAGATTTTAGTAAGACAGAGCAAACTTTAATGAACTGTAAAATACTATCCTAATGCTTTGTTTGTTTGTTTTTAAAAAAATATTGTGTGAATGGACACTTCTGGTGTTTTTGGCCAAAAGAGATCATTTAATATTACCTGGGTTTTAAGGAATAAAGTCAAATTGCTCTATGAAGCATGTAATGGCGGGCTGTGAAACACAATGACTTCAAGATAAAAGGAAATGAAACCAGACAGTAAAATGATATGAATAAAAAGTTACGATGCAATAAAAGATGGAGTCTGTGTGTCAAGCGCCACTCGAATCAAATGTCAACCAGAAGAGCTGCTAAATCACTTAAAGTTTTCCCCTGTCCTTTTAATATTTGTAGACTAAATCAGTATTTGGTCAACTGGAAAAGAGTAGACTATGATTCTAACTTGTTTACAAGTCCACAAGGATTAGTATTATGACATGGAATTAAACATCGCTGAGGAATGTAATTGGTGTAACTGACTGAGACGGAGATGAACAACAGGAATTCCAGAGAAAAATGCTGGAACAATTTGTCATTATTAAGAAGTAGTCAGTTCAGAAAATGAACCCAAAGCAGTTTAGATGATAACAGTCAACGGAGGAAGTAAAATTCTCCCTTAAATGTGAGAATTTGCAGATTTTTTCCCCCAATTTTTGTTCTTCCAAATAGAATATTTCCATGTTTTTGAGAGTTTATTGGACAAAGTGGGTCATTTCAACACATTACCTTAGATTTTGAGAACCTATAATTAGAATTTTTTCAGCTGTTAACCATAAAAAAAAAAAGGATGGATGTAACTTATTTCCAAGTGTACAAGGATTACTGATATGACATGGAATAAAACAGAAACCTAACATAATACCCAACAACAATCCTTAATTCTAGCTTCTTAAATGTCAGGATTTGCTACTTTTTCCTATTTTACGTCACAATAAATAGAATATTGTTGGACACCACAGATCATTTGAGGACATTACCTTGGATTTAAGAATGTATTTTGCGTTTTTCACTAGTTTTCTTAACTTAAATGAATATTTGAGCTGTAAAACGGCCGATTGATGGATGAAAAGTGAGCTGCTTTCTGTGTATTTTTACACTGTGATCGTCTTGTTCCTCCAGATAATAGCATTTGATGAGCTGAAGACCGATTACAAGAACCCAATAGATCAGTGTAACACTTTAAATCCGGTAAGTGACCCCATCGCACCTCTCACACCTTCCTTGCCTCCATGACTGCATGCAGATTTGCTCTGTTGAAAGATGTTTTTCTTTAATTTTTAGTATAACTTTTATCCGCCTATCTGTCTTTTTCTATCATCTTTCTGCACTGTTATGCTAAATAACCTGCCTGTTATGAATTCAGTGATCTTGTCAGCTGTCAATCTCTAACGCCTTGTTTTTTCCTAATCTGCCTTTTTTTTTTTACACTTTATTTTGATTTTTTTTTTTTTTTTACCGCAAAAAGACAGTTGAAAAGGTCAAAAAGATTAAAAGAGTCAAAATTGCATTAAAGGTTTGTACCAATCTTTAAAATGCCCGCTCAGTTCAACTCAGTCTGCAGTCTTGTCATTTTGCACGGGGAAGTGTTTGCAAACGTCTTTTCAGTTAACTAATCTCAGAGTTAAGGCCAGAGTTCAGCTCGGGATTACACAACATGCCACCTGTGCCTCGACTTACGCTGTTGTTTTTTATATTTTCTTTTAAATATGATTTTTTTGTAAGCATTTTGATGTGAATTTGTGAGAATATTGCTGTCATTCTCTATTCTTTAAAACTCAAAATGCAGCTTTTAGGGTGCAAACATTTACTAAAACTCTAGATTTTGCTTTCTTTTCCATAAAACCCATTAACCTGCATGTTTTAAGCTTTGTTAAACCCTTTTTAGTCATCGAAGCCATGACGCTTGTTAGAATATAAAGCAGTGAAATTCTCTATCAGTTGTGACTAAAGTGTAGCTGTTAACTGAAAAGACTTGCAAATGCTCAAAACATGCATGATTTATTACAACCTACCCTTTGTTTGCATAAAGTGCTACAGTTACTGGTGCTATAAATTCCCAGTAAACTCAGAAAGTCATAAAACTGTTCTTGAGTTTAAGACGATACCGTAGCAGAATCCTGACCAAGCTTTTCACCGCGTTAATCACACAAAGTCAGATTACTCCTAATTGGATTTTGTGGAAAAGCTCGATACGTTGAGCTGTGGATCGTAGCGTTTGATTGGTGACATTCATCTTATTCTCCAGCTACAAATTCTTTTTTCTGTTTTTTCTTTAATGCATAGTATTTTTCTATAAGGTGGAGGCTGCAGTTTGAGTCAGCAATTAGCAGATTTAAGCTGCTGCATATGAGCTCAGTTTTGGCTCCGACCTGCGTCACCTGTGGTTCACAACAGATGGCTGCAGAATCTCAACACTCTCCAGCTCAGCAATAATTTGGGGGCCACCGATTGGTTACTGATTCCCCCAGTAGGAGGAGTTATTTTAGTTGGAAAAGTGCAGATTCTATGTATGTTTAATCCACAGCGCGATCTGCGGCCCGGTGTTTTTTTTTTTTGTTTATTTTTGCGTGTGGACCGCTCAGCTCAGTCGGCACAACTTGAGTGCTTGTTTTCTGTATTTGGCAGCACAGTGCAGGATTTCAGCACATTATAGCCCCTCTCCTCCTCCTCCTCCTCCTCCCTCCTCCTGCACCTTCCTCCCCCTACACGCCCCTCACCTTTCCATCCGTGGGCCGTCGGTCGCCCTCCCGCCCGTCCGCCCTCTGCTCTTTTTTGAATGCATGGCTTCCATGTGGTGCCTCCATCTGCCCCCCCACCTGAAACCTCCACCCCCTGCACCAGATCGAACTGTGCAGACCTCGAGGCAGGCTGCTGCTGCTGCTGCTGCTGCTGCTGCTGCTGCATCCACACTGCTCGTGCTCACAGCATGGTCCTCTCTCCGGTGTGTCGTGCAGTCCGTTTGTCGGGAGGTGGGAGGAATCTGTAGGCTCGCCCTCACTGCAAAAAAAAAAAAACAAATACGTAAATACCCTCCAGAGAAAGCTCTTTATGGGTTTCCCTCTTTACTTGTGGTCAGATAATGCATGACGTATAACCAGGGTGGGAAATGTTTCTCTCCACTTGCAACAGCAGATCTCGAAATTCACAATTAGTTGCATCAATTCTGCATTTCTGGTAGTCGATAAGCCACATGTCTCCTCTGAGTTTGCATTTCAGTGCAACATCAGTCACACTTTGCAGGGGGCAGGTTGTAATTTCCCACCCTGTTTCTTATGTTACAGATAACGTCAGAGCACTGCGTGATAAAGCTCCGTTAGTGTAGTTTACCTCCAGAACAAGAGCTAATTTTTCACGTAATAATTGAGCATTAAGCTGGACTTGATGCCGTGCCACGTATGTACTTAAAAAAAATGGCACAGCTGAGCCTCACCATCGTTTGTATTCCACTCCTTTCTCGGACTCAGTGGAGTTTGACTGCAATTTTTAGATGTCCGGCTCTTTAAATAGCTCAGCTTCCTCTTTTGTTGAAAAGGACTCGATGCCTTTGAGGAGCTGAGTCTGTTTCGTCCTCTGGCCGGCGTGCTTTAGCTTCATTTGTTCCACTCCACACGTTGTACTTTCTTGATATCTGTGTGGACATTGAAAGCGTTCGTCTGCATATATACGTGTCACTTAAATCAAAGAAAGAACATGAGAACAGGGGGGATGAAACGATTGACTGTATGTGGGTTTTGACGTTCTCTTACCTTTCCCTCCTTGCAGCTGGTTCTCCCAGAGTATCTCATCCATTTCTTCTTCTGCGTGATGTTCTTCTGTGCGGCCGAGTGGCTCACGCTGTGTCTCAACTTACCGCTGCTGGCTTATCACGTCTGGAGGTGCGTTACATCAAACTCTATAAACCAGTTTAAATACTCTAAACTACCACCAGCTCTTCATAATCTTCTTTTTTTTTTTTTTGCATTGTGCTGCAGGTATATGAGCAGACCTGTGATGAGCTGTCCAGGACTCTACGACCCGACAACCATCATGAACGCCGACATCCTGGCGTACTGTCAAAAAGAAGGCTGGTGCAAACTGGCTTTCTACCTCCTGTCGTTCTTCTACTATCTCTACGGGTACGTTTTTCATTTTCTAACTCTTTTTCTCTGCCCCCAGCATTGAATGTAACTTAGGTTTGTTCATGTATAATCTCAGGATGTCCAGTCAGGAAAGTGCAAATCCATTATTATTATGATTATCATTTTGGTACCAACATGAGCCATATTTGATGTCAGCTGGTTAGCTTAGCATAAAGAATGAAGGCGGGTGGGGGAAAAGTAGCCTGGCTCTGTCAAAAACTACCAAAATCCATCTAACAGCACCTTCAGAAGCTCATTAACATTTTATATTTTCTTTCTTTCTTTCAATCTGTACAAAAACAAACGGCCGATTTTGGCTGCATGAGGAGTTATGTGAGGGACTTAGTGTTTGATCAGCAGATCTGTTTTCCTCAAAACTCGAACTGGAAAACATCATGAGGTCAGGGAAGGAGGGAAAGTCGTCTCGGTGCTGGAAAAAATGCGACTGGGTCTGCCGTGGATGGTGTGTCGCTTTGAATTTGCTGCTGCGGGGAACTGTGGGACGGCTTGACCTCCTCGTCTTTCTTTTCATGAAGGACAGACGAATGTGTTGTCTATTAAAAGAGCCAACAAAGGAAGCATCTTTCCTTAGCATGCAGAGAATTCATCTAGCTCATATCATAGCTTTGGCTTAGATACTTCAGTTATTTTACTAGGAAATAAAGATGAATCAGTCGCAACTCCTTTATAAGTTTTGCACCATGAATGTATTAAAAAACAACACGCAACTTATTAATTAATGAGTTTTTAAAGGTGCTAGCAGGTGGATTTTGTTACCTTTAGACAAGCTAGCTGTTTCCCCCCCGTTTCCAGTCTTTATGCTAAGCTAAGCTAACCACCTGCTGAATGTAGCTTCATATTCAACCCGTTTTAGCAGAATCACTGAAGACTACAGCTGCACAGTTTATAGAAAATTAATCACAATCACCGCTTCCTACAATTAACTAAACAAGGCGCTAATAGAACACAACCAATATAGATCAAAAACATCCTCAACTTTGGTAAATCTGACACCTTATTTCACTCTTTTTGAAATAATTTTTGTAGACCAGAGGACGGGTCTCAAACTTGGCTTCTCTTAAATTCTTGCTGCCAGAGGCCTGGCAGGTCCTTTTAGACAGCTGAGCCACATTTGGCTTGAGGAAGGAAGCAGTTGATACCCTCAGTTTGGCTTGAAGATGCTCATCAGTAAGTTTGGACCTGCACTTTGGCTTATGGTGGACAAGAGCTTTTCACACAGAAAGGAAAAAAGCGTTTGCACTTGGTGATAGGATATATTTTCTCTCCACTCGGTGACACTCCCACATCACGTTTCAAGGGATTAACGTTGCTAATTTGCGTAGCTGTCACGAGCCTGAGCTATGGTAGGCCACAAGTGATGAAAAATATAAATATAAGACGCCCAGGGCAACAACTCGCGTAGTTGTGTGTGAGAAAAACGCACGGGCCGCACTAACACTAAAACTTTGATGTCGAATAGGGGACCACAAAATATCATTTCGCGAGTTTGAGACCCCTGGACTAGAGGCTTCTCTGTGCACAGCCGACTAGCTAGCTTTAGCATGTGAGTCGTTTGGGGACAATCTGTAAATTGCAGTGTTTTGGGTGCAATTTTGTTTCTCGGACATGCTCAAAATATAAACAAGGATAAATTAAACTGTACCCCAAACCCTCTTACTTGCAGAAAATATGCTAATTATTAGACACTAGGATTTACAGATGTTCCCCAAATGCCTCACATTTATACTGTGGTGAAGGAGAACCTTAAATTAAGTCTTATTTTGGTGCAAATATTTCTCCATTAACAGGAATGTAGCACAGCATGGACTTGGAAGCAGAGCTCTGTTTATCTAAAATGAATGCTATGATAGTACTTTCTTGTAAAACTGTATTTACTCTCCCGACAGGATGATCTATGTTCTGGTGAGCTCCTAGACGGGACGACAAAGGCAAAAGGACCTGCATGTACAGTCGACGACCAGACACTATGATCTTAGTGCTGGAACACTGGACCTGCTGGAGAACCACCGTTCAGCAACACAAAAAGACGCCATCTTAAGTGGACGAACTCTCGACTCCCCCCAACAACACAGCGCAGAGTGTCATTTCAGAAACATTTAGCCCGTTTTAAGAGAATATCTCGGTCGCAGCGTTCCTCTCATAGCACTAGTTAAAGATTTTATGGGAAAATATGGACAAAAACCTGAATGGACAAGTTTGGTTTTTTTTTTCTTTCCTTTTTTTAAAAATTTTGGACGGTGTGGTGATATTTTTTTTTTTTCTTTTTGATGCTCCGGATTGATTCTTTTTCATCACGGTTTCCAACTTTTGAGTGTTTACAGGTTAGGTAGACATCTTCAGGTGTGCATTTATCTGTGAGAATCTAAGCTGCATTATAGCGTTTGTTTTTGTTCCTGTGAATTAGATCCCGGGCTTCGACGGCTACTTTATACCTGCCACGTGATTCATTACTTACATAGCAAAAGAGTGCAAAACCAGACTTCTGTTCTTTGCCCACAGATGCGGTGTGAAAGCGAACGGCGAGGGCTGAAGCGCGTGGGCTATTATCACTGAGTGTTGCACAAGGACAATCACAGTCTGGTTGTCACAACGTCAAACTATCTGATGTATCGTCTCCATACTTCCAACTTGTAATCCTTGTCGAACTCTTGGCAATATCTGTTTTTCTTAAGTGTGAATCCAGAGTAGAGCACCATGTGTACGTGACCTGTATTTCTGTAGAATCGCCCTTTTTGCAGCTATCAATACATTTAAAAAAAACAAAACAGAAAAGGTAAACTCAACAGTACAATGTGTTCAGCATTAGGAGGCAACAGTATTTAGTTTTCTTTCTGCATTTGATTGCTGATGTGCCACACTGTTGAATGTACCTTTTTAAAAAAAAACTCTCTTGTGCGTTTTTGTTCAGTTTCAGCACCAAATATTCCACGTTTTGTTAGGATCTCCACTGTTTTTATTTATTGTACGTTTTTAATTTTTCAAGATTTTTTCACTTCGTCACGATATCAAGCACTCCTCACGGTGTCGCTCATCTCCGGGATCCAAAAAAAACCACCCCAGGGTTTTCTTTAGAGGCCATTGGATTCAAATTTTTTCATGAATACTAGAGTATTTATTGCCATTTCCAACATGTAAATTTATCAGGGAAAAGGATTATCATCACTTAATAAATGAAATTTTTATGTATTAGAGCCCATAATGTCACGTCTAGGAAATGATTTATGATTTTGAGTCTAAATAAAGCTATCCCACTCTGTTAACGTGGACTGGAGTGTTGTTTTAACGCTGCATTTTTAATTTCCCTGCAAGATGTCTCATGTTTTTGCACAGATGATGGTTATAAAAACAGTGAGTCATTCTAGAGATCATGTAAACGACGGCAGTTTTGCTTTGTGTTAAAATACAGACGGCTGACAAATTAAAGTGAGGATTCGGCGGCTCTGTGAGGCTGAAGGGGGAAGTTTGCTGCCGTGATTTGTCTCCTCAGAGGGAAGAGTCACAGCAAATCAATACAAAGTTGTTCTGAATGATCACTTCTATCCTCTGATGGAACATTTCTGTCCTGATGGGAGCAATGTCTTGACAAAAAACTAAGAAAGCAAGTGTTTCTACTGAGCTGAACATAAAAATAGTCCTAGTTCCTGTATTTTGACGTCTTATTTGACATTCAAATCTCTACATTGTTCAGAGTTAAATCCCAACTGTTATCAAAATTAAACATGACAGACAAAAATACAGAGAAGCTGTTTTACAACTTGGAGTTAACACATCTGTTTTTTTCTGGATGGGAAACAGAACAGATGAGACACGTTAGTCCTCATGGAATCTTGTTTTTCAGTCTATAAACTTAAGTATCTACAAGGCCAAGCAGTTTTTTTTTCTCAATTGAACAAATGATTAGTTGTTTGGTCTATAAAATAACAGAAAATGGTCAAAACATGTCAATTCTTCCTAAAGACCAAGATGACAAATGTCTTGTTTTGTCCACAAACCAATGATAATTTACTGTCATGGAGGGGGAAAGAAACCAGAAAATCTTAAAATTTAAAGGAACTAATCAGAACATATGGACTTAAAATGAACTTAAACTGATAAACAAAATAGCTGGGGAATAATTATATGGTTTTAAATTACTTAATGTCTGCAGATTTACTTCCACATGATCTCAAAAGATGACAGAATGCTGCATATTTAGAGATCATTTCAGAAAGTGCAGCTCCTTCACTAAGTATATCTACTACACATCATTATATTGTTCTAAAAAGCTCCCGTTCAGTGAAATCCACCTTTAAAAACATGGTATCGTGTGTAAAACCGTAAACATGCAGCAGGTGAACATTCAACAGACATATTCATATGAGAAACCTGCATTATTTTGTTTGTCATCCAGATGCAACAACATTAAACCACAGAAGCAGGATTTCCTCATCGAGTCGTTTATTTGATTATAATGAGGACGAGAAGCAGAAATATATTAGAGTATTCTTTTAAAGTGCAATTCTTAGAGAATACAATTATATCACACGCAGTCAGAAGAATCACCGATAAATGAGCAAGTTTGAAGAGATTTTTGTTCCTCTTTAAGAGCAGCAGCAGCAGCAGCAGAGATCACCGAGACACCGACCGCTCTGTGGCAGCTTCTCTGCTCTCCTGGTAGGACGAGTACCGTTCCCGGAACTCGTGAAGGAAGTTGTATTGCTGCAGAGAGAGAAGTGACAACATACGTTGAGCAACAAATATGTGACAACCATCAAGAGTCAAACACAACTAACAGAAAGCATCACATGGTTTTGCAGGTTTCAGCTCAACAAGTATAAATAGAGAAATGCCACATGACTATTTCTAAAAAGAAACTAAAATAAAGAAACAATGTTTTAGTGACAGATGTTAAATGGATAAATCAGACAGAGTACACAATAATGTATTGTAGATTCAAGAAATTAAAAGGTTTTCATCATAAAAATGTCACAGATACACAAAAGATGTGCAAATTAAATAAAGCAAGGCTGTCAAATTCATTACGTGTCCGTGTGTGTGTGTGTGTGTGTGTGTGTGTGTGTGTGTGTGTGTGTGTCAAGGCCCAGATTGGAATCCGGCCCGATTCCGGATCATATATTAAACTTTCCTGATAACATATACTAAATGAATGAAATGAAATGAAAAATACTTTATTTATCCCAGAAGGGAAATTCACTAGTTTGATGAATATGAAAGTTTGTTGAATTTAAAATTCCTATTATTCAAAAAGTGTAAAAATTAAAATTTTTCATTTCTCATAGATGCATACATGTATTTGTATGTTGAATAATAATAATTCCAAGGTTCTGATCTGGGCCAGCAAGTCAAATTCCGATCTGGGCCAGGTTGGTGTCAGGATCAGAATTCTGATCATTCAGATCAGAATCCATAGGAAAAACAAACAATAAAAAAGAAGATTCTATTCCAGGCCAGCCTAGAATAGAATTCCGATCTGGGCCGGCCCAATTCCAGATTGGGCTACATTCCAATCTGGGCCTTGACAAAGACAGACACACAAATTCAGGGCTGCATCTATAGACTACTGTCCATCAATTATTATTTTAATTGATTGATTGTTTCATGAACAAAGTGTTGGAATAAAAGTGAAAAATACAATTTCTTAAAGAGGAGCAGGAATATTTTGTTTTTATTTTGTCATTGTTAATTTTTGATTGTGACGTGTCGGTTAAAGTAATTTATATGAAATATTATAATTCTAAGCTTAGATTTTGTTCAGTTTTCACAGATGAGTAGTTCAGCGAGTGGCCTTTAAAAAGTTAATGATTCTTGAGGTTTTTACAGTTTCTGACTGATTAATGTTGTAAATTTAGTGCTTTTTCAAAAAGAAAATCATAATAACACCAGTTAATTTTCTCTTAAGGCTGCTACCACGTCTCTGCACGGTTATGAAAGAATCAAGAAAGATGTTAAAAAAGCAGTTTATGAACTTACACAAAAAAGAAAGAAAGAAGTGATTCAATATTAATGTGATAAAATATGTTTAAAAAAACAACAAAACAAAACACCAAAATGTTTCTTAAAAAAAACAAAAAAAACCAGCAACGTCTCACCTTCACCGTTTGAATGGCTCCTCCTCCTCGGTGCTCCCTGAGGATCTCGATGGCTTTGTTGGGCGTCATTGTTAAGGAGAGCTGAAGCAGCAAACAGGCAGCGACTGACCGGAAATAAAACAAAGTGTTGGAGCAGAAACCAGGCGGATTTACACAATAAATTACTTTTTTTTTTGTTGTTTTTTTTTTTTAAAAACTGATGTCGGATAATAGTGTGAAGTAGAATATTCTTACTTAAAGCGGAGCGTCCCAGGCCTCCATAGCAGCTGTAGGAGGAAAAAGTGACAAAATCCCATCAAATGCATGACCACAGAGCAAACTGTTGTGTCATGAGGTGTCCCGAGGATAGCTGGAAATAGACGCTTTGTGGTGAGATGCCATCTGCCACTTCAGGATGCCGAGGTTTAAAAATACCTCAATTATTAAAATACGTAAAAAGGCAGCACCTGTGTCTATTTTTAACCTTTATAGGATCAAGTTTGCATGTCGTGGTCGCAGCTGCGGCCTTCTGATTCACATCGCTGAGGTGTTTAGGTGAGTCGAGTGCGGATGATTTCCTCCTGTTGCCTGGTGAGCAGCTTTATCAGCTCTCTCAGGGAGTAAAGAGCCTCTCAGGAGCCTTTCAGCTGCAGCAGTAAAAAGCTCTTTGAATGTCCTGATTTCACAGCGTGACACACGAAGCTTTAGTTTACAGTCTTTACCGGCACATTGAACAGAAAAACTCAAATATAAAAATGTAACTTGTAACATCAAAATTAACTGGAGAATTTCACTTGCACATTATAACAAGATAGCTGAATTTAATTGGGGCAAATTACTACAAGATAGATTCCAAATTATTTAGTTTTTTAGGAAACTTCTCTTTTAATTCAATAGTATTAATAATGCACAATACTGACAGTGTTTTTCAAAACATTTAGAGATGCTTTACAAAGTCAGCAAGAATGCAAAAGATAAATAAAATGGAGAAAGCAACATATAGGAAACGGGATTATGAGTTGTAAGCAGTGCTGAAAGATGTGTCTTTATGGATTTCTTGGATTTAAAGAGTGGGTTTCATTATAATTAAAACTTCCAATAGTTGAGTAAAATCTATTTTCTAGGAACAATTTCTTCCTATAAATTGGCACCTCTGCTTATAAAAACAATTAAAAGGATATAAAGTTAAAGAAATATTCTTCCCAGTGAGCTCGTATTTCATGTTTCTTTGCAGTTTGTGAAACCTCTCGGCTAAAAAGCAGCAGGCTCATCTTGTGGTGAACTGTTTGATTAAAGTAGTTTAACCCTGTAAAGCCTGAAACATGAAATAATTGCTGGAAAATTCTATTTTTTCAAAACTGGAGTGTTTATTGAACCTTCTGACAAAAAAAAAAAGTAATATCAGTTTGCATATATGAGTTTAAATTTTATTTACATTTTTATTGAATTTCCCTTCTGGGATAAATAAAGTATTTTTCATTTAATTTCATTTCATTTGTATTTTTCATTTTTTGTGATATCCGGCCGTTTTTGATGCATGAATTACGATCTATGGTGGACTATCTGTGCACCGAATATGTCCGATTGTATGCATCAGGTTCTTCCAGAAACAAAAATAAAATTAAAAAAAAAAATCACACTTATGATGTAGGTCTCAAAAACTAATCGATCAAATATGATAGACTTACAGGGTCAAGAAAAACAAGCACTAACATGAAAAATCTCCTGATTTTACCAATATTCATGCGTGTTTCTGGAAAACTCCAACACAACTGGCCGAACAGTAACGTTTAGTGTCTTTCACTGCTTCCCTTAGCTTGAAGGTCGTTTCTGACAGCAGTTTGAGACAGTCTAGTGAATAAACATCAACCGCACTTTGAGTGTTTTGGAGCCATTATTGGTCTCATTTTTAACCAAAACAAAGAGGAAACTACTCTGTAGTTCAAGGGGTTTCTTATTTCAAACACTGATGCACCTTTTTTCTCACTTTTATTTAGTTTAAAAGCTGAGCGTGGGTGGTTTGTTTTACTCACTGGATCACCGTCCTCCTGTTGTTGTCGAGGCTGACCTGCAGCTCCTCCAGGATCCGGCAGCACTGCTCCAGCTCGGGAGCGTCTCCGTCTGCGAAAGGCATGTGGTGGACGGTGAAGCCTCGCTGCTGGTAGACGTCCAGCAGGGAGGGAACCCGGTACTTGTTCAGCTCTCCTCTGGTGCAGAAAACAAACACATCCTGCACGCCCTGGTTCTGGAGCTCCTCTGATCACAGGAAGGGAAGCAAACAGCTGCAGGTTTAAGTTTGTTTGTTTTTAGGTCTGGTCCTAAACATCATCATTATACATGTTACATGTGAAAAACTAACTCTGGATATTCACAATATTGTAAAGTGAGACTTCAAACTGCTGCTAACACCTTTGTGCAGCCAGAAATCAATGTTTTTCTCCATGCAGAATAATATAGAAGTTAACTTTCACTTTAAAAAGAAACTGTGCAAGATCTGAATTTCTACATATAAAAGAAACTGGACAAGATCAACACTACTTATGTATAGTTTTAGTTTATTTTAGATTTTCTACTACATTTTTACACTGCAAGTTTGTAGGAGATTTATCTTATCTTTAATATAAACAGTAGTTGACTGAGGCTGTGCAGCTCCACACACTGAGCTGCAGTGCACATTTCTATCATACCAAACATTAAGACTTCCAGGAACTACAGCATACCATAAAACTCCCTGCAGACCTGCTCTTTTGGAGATGCTGCAACCCAACTGTCCAGCCATCATAGTTTAGTCCTTTTTAAAGTTTCTCAGATCATTTTTCCTGCTTCACACACATCACCTTCAAGAACTGACTGTTGACTGGCTGCCTATTCTATCCTAACTCTCAGCAGGTGCCACTGTGACGAGATAATCAACGTTATTCACGTCACCTGTCAGAGGTTTTAATGTTGTGGCTCATCAGTGGATAAAATAACCTTTTATTATTCCCACAGTGGGAAAATTTGCAGTGTTACAGCAGCAAATGGGAAAGTGCAAACATGGAGGGAACATCAGCAAGAAATAAAAATAAATAAAAAAATATGTATTTTAGTCGTGATTCTTCCATGTGCAGATATTTAAATACTGCACAGATTCCTCTGGATGTGGAAAATAACAATATTGTACATATCTATTTATATATAGCAAACAACAGTCTTGCATAGATTTTTCCCAAAGTAGAAATACTGATATAAGAAATACTGCACAGATTCTTACATCTGTAGTAAACTGATATTGCATTTAGTTTTTTCTAATGTACAAAATATTCATAATCCACAGGATGAATGTGTTGATGGTGCACCAGAGTGAAAAATGTCAGATTCTCCATGTGCAGTCTAAAAAAAATATTAGCATTTCACAATCAAAACAAGTCAATTCAAACTTTTCAAATTACAGATTGACAAAAAGTCAGTGGATCATCTTTCACCATAAGGCTGTAAAACACAGAGAGGTGTACTCAGCTAACTTTACTCTGTGTCATTTTCTAAACTCACACTCACATGCTTATTTTCCCACGTCTACTCACATAAAGTGTTTCTAACAATGGTAGAATTCATGCTAAAATCTGCTTGTGGAGACTAATTCCTTTTGTTTGAGCCCCAGAAAACATCAAGGTTGTCTTACCAACATCTCTTTGCAGGCTCCTGCGGATGTCTTTGTATTTGCAACCTTAAATCAAAAGGAAAGTCAGGGAAAACATGTATTTTATATTTTATTTATATTTTAGAACTAGATGCAAACAAATAAAGCAAATGAACTGAAAAAACAGATTTTACCAGGTAGTGCACATATTCCAAGAAACTGCGAACACTCTACTATGGACAGAGGCAACCTGAAAGACATTAAAAAGAAAAAAAAAGTGTATGTAAGTTTTACATTGTGAGATTTAACAAAAAAATATGTGTATTGTTTTGTGGTAAAGCCACATAAACTTCCACACAGCTTTTGGTGGCTTTTCGAGGTAAAAGCAAAACAACTGAAACTCACCAGGAGATGTGGAAGGGAGTCAGCTGCTCCTCTCCGACTTCCTCGTCTTCAGATGAGGAGTCAAACTCACTCGTCCTCATTTCTTCAGAACTGCAGACAGCTGAGAAAGAAGCATCGAGTAAATTAAACTCAGGACTGAGAAGGACAGAAAAATAACCTGTTAACTACATATCCTGCACACTTT